CATCGTGAGAGGGCTCTATATTCCGGGTGAACCCAGCCTTTGTGGTTGCAGGCTAAGTGCATCCATTACCGCTCGCGTCGCTGTTCGTGAGCGTGGCGGTGCCGGAGAAGATGCAGGCCTGCGGGATCTGGTTTGTTGCCCTATGCTGTTGCCGGCGTAGGAGCAGCGGCCTTGACGGTGCCCGGAGTCCGGAGCGAACCAGCCGGTTCTGCAGGATGGGCTTGCAGTCCGCATGCCTAGAATAGAACAGCGGATCGTGCTGCTATGCCTGCGTTGCTACGAGAATCTTAAAAATACGTATTAACAACAAGAAGAAAGTAGTTTTTTTTAACATATAGGAAGAAGGTAGTTCTGTCTAAGTGTCCATTGCATTGCTTGATTCCTTCTTTTCTTCTTTCTCTTTATCAGGGCCATGCCCATGCCTTGCAATGGGGAAAAAAATAATACTACTGTAATTTATTAGGTTTAAACGTGTGATACTATATTACCAATAAAATGATATTTTGAGCAAGATAACTGCAACATTCTGTTCTTAGCTAGATCCATCTTCATTCTTCATATTTTTATGGAAACAGAAAAATCACAAGTGTTCTTACTAAGAATCTGGTTAGATGATGATTGTTCACCCGGCGCAAACAGTATAAGATAAGAGAAGAGCAAAGACTTCTGTATTTTTTACCATTCTCCATAAAATTTTAGGAAACTTTGGCTCTTGGCTCCAGATTTGGAAGTTTCATTGTAAACAGTTCCTTTTTTCAGGTCAGTGTTTGATAACACTGGCACAACCCGGAACACATAGTGCCTATATATTACACCTAATTTTCGAATGCATCAACAAAAACCTTGAAGTTACTGCCCACAAATACACCACTTGACCGAATAAGAAATGAGGGGATCAATTTTGTGACCAATAAACAAGGAAAGGAATTTTTAGCATAGGTTATAAACATATATGTTGGATGCTACACGGCAAAAGCAGCATAACATCAAAATAGCATGCCACTGACAATATATATATATATATATATATATATATATATAGCAGTACAGTACAAGCAGTGCTAATGCGAATTATGGAGATAAGTTAACTGATCAAATCGCTAAAATCACAATTTAAAATGTCTTCAGAAAGATCACAAGTCCTCGCATATTTTAGCTCCAAATCCAACCAAAGATCAGGCCTATCTGTCCCATAGCAGTTCAGACTTCTGATTTCTTAGCCATGAAACAGATAGCAATTAGACAGTATAAATTTTACATGATACTTGTCGCATACTGCAGCTATGTGACAAAGGATGAGTTATTTACCCTATCTGCAAATGTCTACCAAATGTCTGCAAGTAGAATTCAGCGTGGTCTTTAGAAGCCACCCTTCATGAGCACAATATACAGTTGTGTTAGACACATGGTTAAATCAATGCTGAATTAGCAAATGTACCTTCACCGTCCCAAATATAAATTTTAGATTGTGTACGGACTGAACTTTTCAATATAACATCAGACATCTGTCAATAAATGGTTTAGAAATTAAGTGGAAACACTTCATAAAAATAAAGGAAAAGAAATATCAGAGGCCCTAGTAGTCCTACCTCTCAACGTGTCGCAGTGTTCTCCTAGAAAATGAGTTCACCAGCTACTTAGCAAGGTCTACATCATATTTATAGTTTCCCGAGCATTAAAAACACTATGCATTAGAACTACCCATATAGGGTTGTGCCCGTGCTTTGCAACGGGACAACCATTAGGTATTACATGGGTGAACTATTTAAGCAATAATGACAGAATTAACTCAACCATGTGAGTACACTGTGTGTGTGCCAGTAGCAGTAATGCATCCAACTTTGAATCATTTGTCTACTCAAATCATCACAGTTCATGCTAAACTAACTATTCCCTTGTCTGAACTAAAGATGGCATGCTCAGATCGACGTAAAATAGTTCACCCTCAGATGTATGCAAGAAACATATGATCTAGAGAGATTCGACAACTCCTAATGTGCCCACAATAATATGTATAATATCCAAATTTATAAAATAATAAATTTACATGGCCAATCAACAAACGCCCTCATTTTGAATAATTAGTAAACAGGAGCAAATAAAGCAGGGTACAGAGGCTGAAATAGTAAAATCTACATCCAGAATTATTTTACGAAAGTGGAACTGCATATTTCGAAGTATGAATCATGCAAGTTATCCTATTGTACCATTAAATCTTGTGTGCATAAAGAGACAGGGAGGATGCCATCTTATACGTAAGTAAGAACCACAAAGGGTGCATCCCTGCGATGGAATTTAACCAGACATCTGCCCAGCTTTCCTATTTCAGTGAAGGACTGGTAACATCAATTCGTTTCCTACTGTGAGATCCAAACAAACGCAGGCAACCTCACCTTTTCTCCCAGGAATTTGTCTCATACCTATCTTCTGAAATTTGTGGTTCCCCTTAATATGATTATATTATATGAGTCAACCTGTTTGCAAAGCTAATAGACAGAATAGGCAAAGTACAGAATCTGAACTGAAACTCCTTACATTTTGTACAGAAAATAAGTACGAGTGGTAAAGTGTAATATGTTTAGTCTGCTTACTTGCCTGAGTTATCAAATAAGCATGCAATTCCCACATGATCCATAATGACATCCATTGTCACTTATGACAAAAACTCCACCTTTTCCAAGCCTGAAAATAAAGGAAATATAAGTAGGGGTCAGTATAATATGATATGAACCATTATTGGTGAAAATGTGTGAGATTTGTAAGATTGATGTAAAATGCATCCCATGTGCACCAGCCAAACCAGTTTAGCATGTATGGCATCTGCAACAAGTTGAAAGTTCAGAACTCTGAAAAACAGAAAGCAACAGAAATTCTAATTTAGGTACCAGTTCTCCAAGTAACATCTCACTACCTCATTTTTTCCAGTGAGAGAATGTCTGCAAGTGCCTCTGAAGTCTCAACACCTCTGTAACAAGTTGATTGATATCATATCTGTCAAGGCAGGAGCGCTGTCAAGGGTAGTAGAATGAAGTTGATCCGCAAGAACTTAAACAAGATATCTGCATTTTTTTAATTAAATGACAATAGTACAAGATTGATTACTCATGAAGAAAAAGTTGAGAGCACAAAGTTGTCACTCCAATTCGGCAGAACAACACAGGAGTCTTAAAAAAGCGTCTTAAAGTAGCTGCTGCTAGCAGAACAACTTTCACCAATCAATTAAATTCTAACACCTCGGTGCCTTAAGAGATTTGGACATACACATATCAAAGATAAGCTAATTTGAATTCCAGGAAGCGTGTATGCAGCTATGCCAACATGGCTTCAACAAAACACAATGTAGTCATCACTATGTCAGTGCGCCTGACAACTATTGCAGTCACAATAGATAGATGTTCCTTCTAACTCACAGACTGCAACTGAAGGTTCTAATCCGCGTCATACCACGGACTGCATTGCATAGGAATGGATCAGGGCAGGTGTGACGAATCAGAGTACAAGAGTAGGAAAAAGCAACACAAGAACTCAAATAGAAGGGAGAATTGAGATCCAGTAGCAACTTTACTGATACTCCATCAATACCACCAGTATATGATCTCCAGTACAATAGCTAATACTACCACTACAGGACTAGGTCTACTAGTTCATCTCCGCGATAAGGCCTAAAAGCCTAGCACAAGAGTATTTATACAATGAAGAAGATTTAACAGTGACAGGCTATTACAGTTAAACTAAAAGGAAGCTTTAATTTAAGTTGTGCTGAGATGCCTTTGAGACAGCCTGCATCTGAGAGCCCTCGGATCGACGATAGACACCTCCGAGAGTTACTGTAAGTCCTGACAATGCCCCCCTCTTGAGATCTTTGTCCTCAAGGATGAAAAAATGGAAATATCTTGCAAATGAAATTGGCATCCTCCCAAGTTGCTTGCTCTGAAGGAAGGTTTGTCCAGCGAATGAACAACTGCAGTACTGTACTACTGGTTCGTTGTTGAGAGGTATGAACCTGCGCTCTAGAGTTTCAGCAGGGGCAACTTTAATGTTTCCTTTCTCATCAACAAGACGTAATTCCTTGGATGGTACAACAATTGGTCCCAAGTGCCGCTTTAGCTGACTGACATGAAAAACAGGATGTAATTGATAACCCTCTGGGAAGAGTAGCTTGTATGTGATGGCCCCAATTTTCTCCATGACATGAAAAGGTCCATATAACTTGGAATGGAGTTTCAAGGATCTGTGGACACTGAGGGATGTGTGTCTGTAAGGCTGAATCTTTAAGTAGACCATGTCCCCAACTTCAAACTCTCTTTCCTTCCTGCGCTTATCAACTTGATATTTAATCCTGGTCTGAGCCCTAGTCAAGTTGTCTTTAATAATTTGGTTGGCAAGTTGCCTATTCTGCAATATTTCTCTAGTTGGATCATCAGGGCAATCAGGAAGCACAGTGTCAGCAACCATTAGAGGTGGAAAACCATAAAGTGCTTGGAATGGTGTCATGTTGAGAGATGTATGAAAAGAAGTGTTATACCACCACATTCGGCAAAAGACAACCAGTAATACCACTTTGTGGGTGCTGTGGACCACATATATTGTTGAGCTATGATCCAAATTCAAGCTTGGACCGAAGCGAAAAGGCCCATTAGCATTAAGAGGGACTACACCGTCTATTAGTTCTGTATTGTTAATAGACGAGGGTGTGGGGTTTTTCCTCCCTATATATATAGACCACCTCCCTCATGGAAAAGATATATCATAGACTTCTATACGGGAAGGCCCCCAGGTTAGGGTATCCCCAAGTTGTAAATCTCCAACGTTTGTAACCTCACCCGATATAGTGAAGATTTACTGGCTGGTGTCCGTAGTTTTTTCCCTTCCACCTTGGGAGGGTTTTCCACGTTAAAATCTCGTGTCCCCTGTGCTTGATCTACTATTCTTCGTCATTTATATTGCCTATCATTTCTAACAAGTGGTACCAGAGCTTGGTTTGACCTTAAGGTTTCGCGATGGCATTGATGAAGTTTGATCTACCGCTGCTGGATTACAAGATGAGATTTGCGTTGTGGCAAGTCAAGATGCGAGCGATTCTGACACAATCTTCGGATCTTGATGAGGCGTTGGATGATTTCGGAGGAAAAGGACAGAAGTCATGGACCGCTAAAGAGAAGCGGAAGGATCGTAAGGCTCTGTCTCTGATTCAACTTCATCTACATAATGATATTTTGCAAGAAGTGCTGCAGTAGAAAACTGCCGTAGAACTTTGGCTCAAGCTGGAATCGATCTGCATGTCCAAGGATCTAACCATTAAGATGCACGTGAAGATGAAGTTGTTCACGCACAAGCTGCAAGAAGGTGGTTCGGTGATGAACCACTTATCGATCTTTAAGAAGATCGTTGCCGACCTAGTGTCGATGGAGGTAAAATATGATGATGAAGATTTAGCTCTTCTACTGTTATGCTCACTGCCTACTTCGTTTGCAAATTTCCGAGATACCATACTATTAAGCCGTGATGAACTAACCCTTGCGGAAGTATATGAGGCCCTCCAGACGAGGGAGAAGATGAAAGGTATGGTTCAGTCTGATGTGTCATCCTCCAAGGGCGAAGTCTTGCAGGTTAGAGGCAGGCCCGAGTAGAAAACCTACAACAACAACAATAATCGAGACAAGAGCAAGAACGGTAAAGGCCGTTCGAAGTCCAGAGGTAGGGATAAGTTCTGTAGGTATTGTAAGAAAGATACTCATGCCATTGAGGATTGTTGGAAGCTGCAGAATAAGGAGAAAAGAAACAGTACGTATAAACCAAAAAATAAATCCGATGGTGATGGTAAGGCCTCTGTTATCTCCGCTGTTGATAATTTTGATTCAGGAGATGTTCTGGTTGTTTTTGCTGGTCATGATGAATGGATACTTGATTCTGCATGCTCGTTTCATATATGCTCTAACAGAGATTGGGTCAGTTCTTACAAGTCTATGCAGAGTGGAGATGTCGTGCGTATGGGAGATAACAACCCACGTGAGATCGTGGGCATTGGCTCCGTTCAGATCAAGATGCATGATGGCATAATACGCACACTAAAAGATGTGAGACACATACCAGGGATGGCCAGAAATCTCGTCTCCCTCAGCACACTTGATGTCGAGGGGTACAGACACTCTGGTTCAGGTGGAGTGTGTAAGGTATCAAAAGGCTCTCTCATTCATATGATAGGTGATATGAATTCTACAAAGTTATATGTTCTTAGAGGAAGTACTTTACATGGTTCTGTCACTGCTGCTACTGTTTTTAATGATGAACTAAGTAAAACTAATCTCTGGCATATGCGTCTTGGGCATATGAGTGAACTTGGTATGGCAGAATTGATCAAGAGAGACCTACTGGATAGCTGCACTGTGGGTAAGATGAAGTTCTATGAGCACTGTGTTTTTGGTAAGCACAAGAGGGTAAAATTCAATGCATCTGTTCATACCACCAAAGGTACACTTGATTATGTACATGTTGATTTGTGGGGGCCATCTCGTAAGCCCTCTTATGGTGGTGCTTGTTACATGCTTACCATTATTGATGATTACTCTAGAAAAGTGTGGCCTTACTTTCTAAAAAATAAAGATGATACTTTTGCTGCTTTTAAAGAGTTGAAAGTTATGATAGAAAGGCAAACTGAAAAGAAGGTAAAATTGCTTCGTACTAACAATGGTAGTGCATTCTGTTCAGATGTTTTTAATGATTACTGTAGGGAAGAAGGCATTGTCAGGTGCCACACCATCTCATACACTCCTCAGCAGAATGGTGTGGCTGAGCGCATGAACCGAACCATCATCTCGAGGGCTCGTTGCATGCTGTCCAATGCTCGTATGAACAGGCGTTTTTGGGCTGAGGCTGCTAACACCGCCTGTTACTTGATCAACCGATCTCCTTCTATCCTATTTAATAAGAAAACTCCCATTGAGGTATGGTCTGGTATGCCTGCTGATTATTCATAGTTGAGAGTTTTTGGTTGCACTGCTTATGCTCATGTTGATAATGAAAAACTAGAACCTAGAGCCATTAAGTGTCTGTTTCTTGGTTATGGTTCTGGAGTTAAAGGATATAAGTTATGGAATCCTAAAACTAAAAAGACTTTCATGAGCAGGAACATTGTTTTTAATGAATCTGTTATGTTTAATGATAGCTTGTCCATAGATGTTTCACCAGTTGGTTCTGATGAGGAGCAGGAACATGTTAGCGTGTAGGTGGAGCACGTAGATGATCAGGAAACTGAAATTGTTGATAACAATGTTCATGATATTGTTCAGCACTCACCTCCTGTTTTGCAGCCTCAAAATCAGTCTATTGCAGATCGTAGAACAAAGAGGAGTTGTGGACCTCGTCCACGTTTAATCGAGGAATGTGATATTGTTCATTATGCCTTTAGTTGTGCTGAACAGGTTGAGAACATTCATGAGTCGGCTACGTACACTGAAGTTGTTGTTTTTGGTGACCGCGAGAAGTGGATTTCCGCTATGCAAGAAGAGATGCAGTCACTTGAGAAAAATGGCACATGGGATGTTGTGCGCTTGCCTAAACACAAGAAGGCCGTTCGTTGCAAATGGATCTTCAAAAGAAAGGAGGGTTTGTCTCCTAGTGAGCCTCCAAGATTTAAGGCAAGGCTAGTAGCAAAAGGTTTCAGTCAGATTCCTAGCGTTGATTATAATGATGTGTTCTCTCCAGTTGTAAAGCATAGTTCAATTCATACATTTTTCGGTATTGTTGCTATGCGAGATCTTGAGCTTGAGCAGTTTGATGTAAAGACTGCGTTTCTACATAGTGAGCTCGAGGAGGAGATATACATGGACCAGCCAGAAGGGTTCATAGTACCTGGTAAGGAGGATCATGTTTGCAAATTAAAGAAGTCCTTATATGGTTTGAAACAGTCTCCTCGTCAATGGTATAAAAGGTTTGATTCTTTTATCATGTCACATGGTTTTAAGAGGTCTGAATTTGATAGCTGTGTGTACATTAAATTTGTTGATGGATCACCTATATATTTACTGTTATATGTTGATGATATGTTGATTGCTGCCAAGAGCAAGAAAGAAATCACTACATTGAAGAAACTGTTGAGTAGTGAGTTTGAGATGAAGGATCTTGGTGTTGCTAAGAAGATTCTAGGTATGGAAATTACAAGAGATAGAAATTCTGGTTTGTTATTTCTTAGTCAGCAAAGTTACATTAAGAAAGTAATTCATCGTTTCAACATGCATGATGCAAAGTCTGTTAGTACTCCTATTGCTCCTCATTTCAAATTATCAGCTTTACAATGTGCTAGTATGGATGAGGATTTTGAGTACATGTCAAGAGTTCCATATTCTAGTGCTGTTGGTTCTTTGATGTATGCCATGGTTTGCTCTCGTCCTGATTTATCATATGCTATGAGTTTGGTTAGTAGATACATGGCTAATCCTGGTAAAGAACATTGAAAGGTTGTTCAGTGGATTTTCAGGTACCTTCGTGGCACAACAAATGCCTGTTTGAAGTTTGGTAGGACTGATAAGGGACTCACTGGCTACGTGGATTCAGATTTTGCTGCTGGTTTGGATAAGAGGAGATCTCTCACAGGTTATGTGTTCACTATTTATGGTTGTGCTGTGAGTTGGAGGGCAACATTGCAGACCGTTGTTGCCCTGTCTACCACTAAAGCAGAATACATGGCTATTGCTGAAGCATGTAAAGAATCAGTTTGGTTAAAAGGTTTGTTTGCTAAGCTTTGTGGAGATAATTCTTGCATTAATTTATTTTGTGACAATCAAAGTGCTATATGTCTCACTAAAGATCAGATGTTCCATGAGAGAACGAAGTATATTGATGTCAAATACCATTATGTTCGTGATGTGGTCACGCAAGGTAAGCTGAAGGTATGCAAGATAAGCACACATGATAATCCTGCTGATATGTTGACAAAGCCAGTTCTTGTTGCTAAGTTTGAGCTTTGCTCAAGCTTAGTTGGTATAACTGTTTAGCCCAAGAGGCTATTTGGCACCGGAAGTATTTCTTTGTTGTTTCAGGGTGAAGGTTTGTTTTATGCTACAAGAAGTAATTTGTCTCAAGGTGAAGTTTGTTGAGCTATGATCCAAATTCAAGCTTGGGCCGAAGCGAAGCGGCCCATTAGTGTTAAGAGGGACTACACCATCTATTAGTTCCGTATTGCTAATAGACGAGGGTGTGGGGTTTTTCCTCCCTATATATATGGATCACCTCCCTCATGGAAAAGATGCATCATAGACTTCTATATGGGAATGCCCCCAGGTTAGGGTATCCCCAAGTTGTAAATCTCCGATGTTTGTAACCTCACTCGATATAGTGAAGATTTGCTGGCTGGTGCCCGTGGTTTTTTCCCTTCCACCTTGGGAGGGTTTTCCACGTTAAAATCTCATGTCCCCTGTGCTTGATCTACTGTTCTTCACCGTTTATATTGCCTATCGTTTATAACATATATCTATGGTAATTTTCTAGGGGCATTGGTTGACTCTCTCAGTCTGCCCATCAGTTTTTGGATGGTAAGAAGTGCTATAATGAAGCTTGATTTCCAAAGATGTGAACAAGGCTTGCCAAATTTGACTAGTGAATACCCGGTCCCTATCAGTAACAATAACTATTGGAAGAGCATGAAGCTTAAAAATATTATCAGTGAACAGGTTGATAACCTCTTTTGTTGTGAAGGGGTGCTTAAGTGGCAAGAAATGAGCATACTTGGTGAACCTATCAACCACAATAAGAGTTATGTCCTTGTCATTGGATTTGGGAAGCCCTTCATCAAAATCCATGGAGATATGTGTCCAAGCCATATCTAGAACCTATCAAGAGCACAAAGTTGTCACTCCAATTTGGTAGAACAACACGGGAGTCTTAAAAATGCGTCTTAAAGTAGCTGCTGCTAGCAAAACAACTTTCACCAATCAATTACATTCTAACACCTCGGTGCCCTAAGAGATTTGGACAGACATATATCAAAGCTAAGCTAATTTGATGTATGTAGCTATGCCAACATGGCTTCAGCAAAACACAACCAATAATGTGCAGAGTAGACATGAACCTGAGATCTGGCCTGGCAACTATTGCAGTCAAACTCTATCCTCTATTGGAACATCAGTCATTTCAAAATACTTCTCTGATTTCCTATACATTCGTCTGGATCGGTGCCATCAAACTCAGGAAAATGGATTTTAGGACCCCGAGCTACCATTTGCTGTTGATTTGAGAGAGATGTGTGGTATGGTGGTGGATGGATGTCTTCGTATTGGATTTTCCTCAGGTTGGGAAGGGTTGGGTGAGTGATTTGTAGTACCTTGTTGGCGTTGCCAAGGATCAGGAGGGGGGTTTGTCAAATTGTTTTCATGGTGTTTGGGATCAAGGTAGTGGTCAAAAGATGCTGTGTCAAATTGGGTTTCATGATCATATAGATTCCACGAGTGTGTAGTCCAATCATCATAGGCATCAGTGGCTTGCTCTGAATGCCATGTGTTGACCATAACCCCTGGGAACTATTATCTTTATGATTTGCTGTACTAGACTCTGGCTGAGAGGAATTTAAGTGATGGACTCTATTTGGAACCACTATCTCCAACAAATTGGGATTTATGCAGGTGAAGATTCGTGGGTCGAACCTGTCCAAAATTTTGAGGAGCAAAAGGGTGTGTCTCATTGATGTTGGAACTAGCATCCTCAACAATAACAGTATTAGCCTTGTCAGCCATCTTGGTCAGATAGGACAAGACTTGGTAGAACTTGGAATTCAGCTGATGGTTGTGGTCTTCTTGCTGCTTCATGAAGGAATCCAGGGTACGATGAATTCCATCGACTTCTATTGCAGTTGCAAACTGCATCTCACTAGGAGAACCATCCATAGTTAGTATCACGTCGCCACCTGTGGATTCGGTTTCGGCAAGCCGTCCCCTAAATCAATCCATAGGCTCAATCTACCACCACCTAGACCATGGATTTGGCTCTGGAATTTTACACAAGGATGTGCCTTGCAACCCTTGCAAAAGAGTGATGTACTGCAACACCATCGCAGATCGGATCTAGGCCAGGTTATGGAATTTTACACAAGAACAAAACCTTGCAACCCTTGCTGGACAGAATATACTGCTAATTTAGGAGAAGAATAGGGTTTTGTGGGAGATTTAACTTTTTACCATTATAAGAATCGGCACCTCCTGAGATCCCACTGCAACGGCTAGCAATACGAGTTTGACACGCAATGGAGAGAAGAGATACATAATTGCCACTTTTGCACTCGTGGCACGACAGCACGTCAGTCCAGGTGGGATCCGAGTCAGCATGGGGGTGGCAAATGACCACGGCTGCCCCTGCCCTCTGCTGCTAACCCAGCTGGGCCACACTCAGTCGCCTCACTTGGCCCATTCGCTCGTTCTTTGTCTCCATGCTCTCGCTGTAGCCCTCCGCCGCCGCCGCCGCCACCATCCTACGCCGCCACCGCCTTCCTCTCCCTCCTTCCTCTCCTAGCTTTCTCGATGGAGCATTACTCAGAGTCATCTGGAGGTGGACGAGCGAGGAGCAGGCTTCACGGTGGCCCAAGCACCCGCATTGCCTTGGTCGGTCTCGATCCCATTGGTGAGCTCAGTGGTTTCCCGTTGATCCCTTGCCCGGATTGCCATCTTGCTCGAGTGGTGGAAGGGTGGACCAAGAAGAGCAATGAGAATCATGGCCGTCTGTACTTCAAGTGTGCAAGGAATGGGGTCAGTTGTCTCCTGGATTTTCCTAAATTAGCACAGTTACGGTTGTAATTTGTGTCCTTTTTTTAGTTCCCCCAAGTTGTGTGGGTACTATCGATTCGAGAAACAGTACTTCCAGCAGTTGAAGGATCTCGGCATCGTCATTGTTCGGCCATCGAACTGGGTAGAGGTGGTGGAAGAAGAAGCTTCAATGGGGAGTCTAGATGGTGACAAGTAGAGGAAGGAATTGGAGCACAAGCTGGAGAAATTGATGTTGAAGATGAACATGTTCATTGCTTGTGTTGTATGTGTTGTCTTTGGGTGTGTAGTGATGTATGATGTAATGAAGTAATGGATGAATGAAACTGAAAAATATTGTCCCCATAATTTTATTGTCTGGATGAATGAATGAAACTGATGGATGACTAAAACTGAAATGATGAATTAACACATAATTCACAGAGGTATGATAAAAACAGATCACATGCACATCATTTCATAGAGCAGTGGCACATAATTTAATACAAATCATAACAGGTTCAGGCAGATAGTTAGGATGTCTACACATCCATTGACATTTGGCCACTTACATCACAGTAGCTTAAGTCCACACATTACATAGTCATTTGGCCAGTTCCAACACAAAAGCTTATGGCCACACATCACATTGTCTTGTGGCCACATAAAGCACATAATGTTTAGGTGTTTCACTTTTTCTTCCCCTTCTTTGCCAGAGTCTTCTTTCCTAGACTCTTCCTGACCTTGGATGCCAGCTGCTTCCTCCTTGGTGTCATCTTCCTTGGAGCACCATCAGTAGGCATGTCTTGAATCTGGTTTACAATTTGCAAATCAAGACAGGTGTTCCTATGTTCAAACATCCAGGAGTTCAGGGTTGCATTCTTTGGCAAGCATAGAATTGTAAAGGTTGTATCATACCTTGGAGGTGTTTTTGGGCTTGATGGTGGAATTGTCTCCAGTGGTGGCACATCCAGGAGATGCCTCTCTGCTTGTTCTACTGCTTCTGCTACAACAGCAGCCTTATCTACTGCTTCTGTAGCCTCTCTTGCTGCCTTTGCAGCTGCCTCTCTAGCCACTGCTGCTCTTGTCCTCGGTGTTCCTTGGTCTATTGGTGGCTGGTCCTTCTTGGCCTTCTTTCTTCCTAGTCTAGGTGCTGTCTTCTTGGTCCTCTTCCTGTAAATAAACACCACAGTTAGGTTAGTTGTTGCTTATTTGTTGACATAAGATAATAGTTCAGTATTTACCTTTTCTTTGTCCCTGTTAGTGCACACCTCCAGCTACCAGTATTGTGGCCATACTCACCACAACCAGTACATTTTACCTGCCTAGTTCTTTTTCCAGTTCTTTCAGTTGGAGATAGGTACCTGCTCTTCTTCAATCTGCCTGATACTTTTTTCTTCTTAGACAGTGGTGGCAACAACTTGAAACCCTTGTCAACCTCAGGCCATTGGTCCCTGTCAGTGATGTTTGGGATAATACCATGGTAGGCAGCCTAAAACTTCTTAACAGAGTAGTATTTGTCCACATATAGGTCCATTTGGGGCTGCCTCATAGTGGTGATGACAGCAAGTGCATGTGGGCATGGCTTCCCAGTTACCTGTCATTCTCTACAGGTGCAAATATGCTTTGTAAGATACACAACATGCCTCCTCACTTCTTCATCTTTGTATATCTCTGTGACTTCTGCTTCTTCTGGATGCCCCTTGGTCACTTTGAGGTGGCCTATACCCTTAAAAGCTACATTGAGCTGGTGTATGACAGCAGGTAAGGTTCCTCTAGTCAAGGCAGTGGAGATCTTCCTTCTCTTAGCAAACAGGACCATTGTTTTCTCCCTAATAGTATCAGCCAAACAATGCACAGGCAGATCCTTGTGCTCTTTGATCCATGCATTCCAGGACTCAGCTAAATTATTGTTGATGTAGTCACATTTGATGTCACTGCTGAATTTGCTCCTGGCCCAGAGTAGGTTATGGTGCTCTTTCAACCAAGTAAGCACACCAGGGCTAGCTGCCACAACCTTGTGAAAGAAATACTTGAATTTGTGAGGAGTATAGGCCCTAGCTGCAGGCCACATGTTTTTGGCAGAGACATCTCCACTGTAATATTTCTTCATATTCTCCATCAAATGTCTAAAGCACTCTCTCTTCTCACACTGAGGCCACACTTGAGCCACTGCTGCCTCAAGACCCTTGCAAGCATTAGTGCATACTGCTAACTTGTCCATAGGTCCAATTGCTTTGCTAGCTGCTCCATGAACCAGATCTAGTTTTCCTTGGTTTCTGAGTCAAACAATCCAAATGCTAAAGGATACATCCAGTTATGACCATCTAATGCTTGGGCTGAGGGCAAGTGGCCATTCCATAGCCCATTAAGGTTTGTGGAGTCTATACTAATGTATGGTCTACATCCATTTCTAAAACCATCTATGGCTGCCTTGAAACAACAAAAAAATCTGCTGAAATGAATCTTCCCATCAACTTCTTCAGTAGCTATCTCAACTATGGTACCAGGTGATCTCATCTCTACCTCTGCCTTAAATCTATACAACCAATCAAAGGAGTCATCCCACTTACCAAAAAGCTTGTTGGCTACTCTATGTCTGCCATACACTACAGTTTGGTAGGGGGCCTCAATCTTGTATTTGGTCTGCAGCTCCTCCTGCACTTCCTTTGGACCCATGCTTGGCTTCTTCTTGAGTAGTGGAATAGCCCTCTCTGCCACCCAAGCTTGTGAGGCCATCCTGCCAACCACTTTGCTTCTAGAGGCACAATTATGCTACCCTTCATTTATTTGCACCTACACATGCACAAAACAACCAAACATAAGTAACCAGACAAACATAACATCCAAACAGTTTAAATGAAACAAAACAAATCTATAAAAAAATACCCTGACACTCCCATCGTGTTGGGTTCTACCTCTAATAATCCAAGGACATCCAAGAGAAGCACAGTTTCCCCTAAACCTTGATGTATCAGAGTGTACAGTGTGAAGCTTAAACTCCTTGACAATTGTATGTTGTCTCACAGCTAATCTAAAATCATCGATAGAAGGGTAAGAAACCCCTACAGACATATCTAGATTATCCCTGTTCCAATCAAACATTGGCTCCTCACCCACATGATCATCAACTGGTATAGCTCCATCTGCCATATCACTCTGCATCTTAGCTGTCATGGTAGGGATATGCATAGCTTCCCTAGCTGCTTCCTCTGCTCTTTCATCTGCTGCTTTGAAACCCATTGCCTCATACACTTTGTCCTCATCATCAACTTCCTTGGCCTCTCCATCCTCATTAGGCTCTGCCAATATAGTCAACTCAGCCCAATCAACCTCTTCTGCTTGTTCCACTGGCACAGATGGAGGTGGAGAGCTGCCGGTGTCACCACTGCCTTCAACATTATCAGGAACAGCACTGCCTTCTACATTATCAGGAGCACCACTGCCTTATGCATTACTAGGAGCAGCATTGCCTTGTGCAGAAGTGACACCAGATGCACACCTAACACCAGAGCTAGCATTAGCAGTTTGAGCATGTTTCTGACTACATCCACTACAAGCACAGCTACCCTGTCATCCCATCTATCCTTTATTAGCTGCTCAAAATATTCATCCCTCCTAACTTTCCATTCAGATTCACTGTCACTGTCAACCACCCAAACATCCAATGTCTGTGAAGGTCTCTAGATTATCTTACTGGCCATTTCATCATCAAATTTAGACAGAGAAAACTGCACAGTCCTATCCAGCCATAGTTCATGCTCCTGTGGTGACATTTCTACTTGCCTGTCCTCACCATCAGCAACATACTTAGAAACCTTAACAACTAATCTAAATGCATTGCCAGGATCAATCCTGACACAATAACGAAGAGAAACACAAATCAAACTGTTAGACGGTATCCTACTACACAACATCTTCCCAATCCGGAATCAAAGCGAGGACGAAGTGCACTGAAGTTTAACTTACCAAATAGGGCAACCACTCCTATCCATTGCGTCTCCAATCTCCACCGCAACAGAAGCCACTACATCAACGGCCTACGAAGCAAGGAAGGCGGACAATTTCACCATCACTGGTTGGAACCCTAACCTAACCTACAATCCCATCAAAACCAGTGCAATAAAACAAGCGGGATGGCGACAATGGCGGTCCAC